GGGGAAAAATTTAAATTTCGCAGACCTGTGTTATTAAAGTCAGTGAAGAATACAGACAATTATTCGCCAAAGAAATTTGACATGAGCCATTCATTTGCAAATCTTATCACACAGGTATGAAATGGAATAAACTGCGTAGTGCTTTCCAAATAAATGACATTAAAAAAAAAAAAAAACAAATTTAATAATTTGTGCTTAAAAGATGGAGTTTCCGCTTTTTTTTAACCAAAATGACTAAGTTATCTCTGCCCGTTCAGGAGGTATGACCAATCAAAAAAATGATTACATATGTAAATATTAAATTCGCGATTTTTCGTAACGTAACAGGATTATTGCAAAATAAAGTATAGGGAAACAAATATTACCTGGACCTCTACCAAAGTACGTAACTATATTGGTTATCCAAAAGAAAAGTCTTTTAAGTGGCACACTTCACGTATTTTGATCTAATTAAAGTTTTTATTTAAAAAAATTTTTTTATCAGTCAATGCTTTACGAAACAATTACTATCTCAGGCCCTATATCGATACACCCTTTAAAAATCTGTCAGTTAAATCTTTGATATACACTCTATCACATATTTTTTGCAGATTTTTAAAAATCTGCAAACATGTTTTTTTTTGCAACTTTCTTAATTTTTCATTAACAAACGTATGGAAATTGGAGTAAAAAAAAATAAAATTTTATAAATCTCTCACTCTTTGTCAATAAAAAATCAGTAATTGATTTTTTTGTTACAACCAAAATTTATCGAGTTATTATGTGATAAACAATGGCTTACGGCGAGACTCCTAATATTTTGGATGTTGTATAACTTTTGAAAAATAAATTGCTGTTGTTTTTTTTCGCGTTTACAAACACTTTGGGACCTCCTCTGCAACATATCAGAAAATCGAGCAAAATCAGTTTTTGACCAATTGAAATAGTGTGGAAGGCCTCTTATTTCTTTATGTCTTTCTTTTGTTATTATAAAAGTTTAGTTTTTGTTTCTGGTATGGAGTGTATTAGGATTTTTTGGGTACCTAGTCATGTGGGGATAGATTGTTAATAAAAAGGCTGATCTAGCTGCTAAAGCTGCAGTGGATAGAGGAATGCAGTTAAGGATAGATTTTACTCCTAAAGAAGCTTTAAGTAGCTTACATAATTTAATTTGGAACGATTGGAGTAGGATTTTTAAGGATTTGTGTTTGGTTAAGGGTAAGACTTTTTTTTTTGCTAATGGGGGTAGGGCTTGTGAGAAACAGTGATTTTTTTCTAAGAATCTTAATATGAGTTCTTATGCTATCAAGTTAATTAATATGCTTTTGGTTGGTCATACTTATGGGAAATAGTATCTTAGTAAGTTTCGAATTAACATTAGTATCTAATATGTGTTTTGTTTGCCAGGAGATAGAAACTTTAGATCATATAATTTTTAGCTGTATTAAGCACACAGAGCCAGAAACAATTTTTTTCTTTTTTTTTTTTAATTTAATAATTTAACAAGTATATGGAATACTTAAGATATTCATTTATTTAAAGAGCTTGTATCCTTTCTTTACTCAGCTAATGTTGATCAGCCATTATAATTAAGTCTTATATAACTATGGTTTAAAAAAAGTTAAAAAAACAAAAATGAGAAGAAAGTATTTTAATTGTTTAAAAAAATAATAATAATTTCAAATTAAAAATATTATGCTAGAAATGATATTGTGATTGAATGTTTGCATGTTTGCATGCTATTATCTTTAACTGTCTTTTGTTTTATTTTTTCGTTTTTGTATTGTTTTTTGTAACTTTTATAATAATTTATTACACTCCGGCTCACACCTCATCAATCAACTGGAGAATATTTATGAAAGAGTATCTGGTTTTGTTTCTACAATCAATATTTTGTATAACCTGGCATCGTAGGAATCAGTTTGTGGTTCCAGCCATCTTTTGGGCTATTATATAGCTGTTTAATCCAAAAAATATAAAAGTTTATTAAAAACATTTGTTTTTGAATGAATTGATATTCAGGTAGCTTTTTTTAAGGAATCGGCATCGGCATCGGCCAATAATTGGGAATCGGTCGGACTCCAATTGGTGCAGTTATTGTTGTTGTTGTAGCAGCGTTACTCCTATCCTGCTAAGATGGCACGAGTTGTCTGAAGTTGTAATCGGTTTAACGCAGCCCGTTGCAGTAACCAGCACGAAGTTATGTCGGTAAAGCGCTTTTTCTGCACTTTGCGTGTACCGTCAACCTTAACGTAAAGTGTTAGTCTGACTTCCTTGGGCAATGCCGTGAATGCAATTGCAGTCTATTTTGCGAGAGGCGAGAGAGATCGGAGAAATAGTCATTTCCCTTCGAAGAGGGATTGTCATGGCAGAGGGTACTGCGCTCCAAAATAACGCAGGCGATGTATGTAATCTTGTCAAAGCTGTGGATTACGCGAAACCCAGAAGTTGCCGTACGCGTACCTCGGTTATGTCTGTCCCTTGCTAGTTTAACCGTAGACGTACATTCTTTGTCGAAACGACGATCCGACAATGTGTGTGGTTTACGTATACAACAATAAGAATGTATTTCCAGGGTTAAGGGGTAGGTCCCTTAAAGTTAGCTTGCAGGTAACGAGCGGCATGCCTAAACCCTTCCAGGCCTGCGAAAGTGGAGCGGATGTGCCGTCTCTTGCAACTTCGTCTGCCGTTTCGTTGCCTGGTATGTTCCGGTGCGACTTCTGCTTGAAAGACCCTGCAGTGATTGGGAAAGCGAAATGATATTTCCAGCCCCATACGGGCTGAGAAGACCCCCCTCCTACCTCGCCGTCTAGCTTACACCCATAGGTGTAGAGATGGAGTGATCCCTTTTCATCAGAAGCTCCTCCTGCCCATAATTCAGAATATCCAGCCTGTAATGGAAATCTCATACCTCTTTATGAAGTTCAGACTTAGTGCACAGTAATCCGTGTCCGGTATGTTTACGTTCTTTAGAATTGAGCGTATCTCCAACCTAGTACCCTCGACCCTTACATCTGTAGGGGGCTACCGTTGCTTTCTTAACACGGTCTTGTACATTTTGTGCCCAGTTCAGCTTTTTGTCTAGCACTACGCCTAATGCTATCAAGGTGTATTCCTTTATCGCTAAGGTTTTCTCAATGCGCCACACGATTTCGTGCAGCGCGTTTTCGATGGACTTACCATGGCAAAGCTTTTTAATGACACATTTTTAGGAAATCTCATGTCATAGTTACGCGAGTATCTCGAGGCAGTAGAAGCTCTTTCTCCCTAATGGCTGGTATTTAAACTCCGATGACGATATTCAAAAAACCAGGTGGCAAAGCGTTAATTGCCTGTTTGTTCAGCGTCGAGTCCAGTAGTTATTGTAAGCAATTCTGGATCTCGTTCTTCAGTTCAGAGCGATGCTTTCTGATGTGCCTGGAAGGTGGATCTGCTTCCAGAAAGTGCATGTTGCTGCGAAGTTAACGAAGAAAACTTTCAGGCCACTTACAATATAATCGGCCAATTCGGAGACGATTTAGACAATTTACGACGCACCATCGTGGGCGGCAGCTATCAGCGTTATCTTGATTGGAGAGCGACTTCATATACATACCTCGTCTACAGCATGCAATCTCATCACCATCTTCATGACAAAGGCCATATACTATCGGTGAAAGAGCATTACCTCCCAAAAGATCCGCCACCTCGTCAGATTAGACGGTACCTGCGTGATAGGAAAGAAACAGTGGACCAATGCAATACACTGCAGCCAGCACTCAACAAGGCGTAGTCGGAACCAGCCTCGGCACCTAGAAAAATAGCATGGTGCTGCCAAATCGGGCTCTTTAAGTTGACGCAGAGCAGAAATTGCTTCCAGCAATCTGAACCGACATCTGCGAGTGCATTGAGCTAAACTGTGACCTGTCGCGGATGCACTTGGAAGTGTCAAAAGCCTGCGTGCGAGAATCCTGCGACACCCCTCATTTTTTAACATCTAACTGGACAAGCCTAGCACTGGGAGAGAACCGGTCCGCCTCTGTAGACGTTGTCCGCTTTCATGCTCTAAGGCTCACTGAGTCGGAAAACAAAGACGTTCCCAAGACTATCAGGCCTACATAGTTTGAACGAGTCGAATTTATATCTGGACAAGGACTGTCACCTCAGCAACATTCCCTAAAACTGTGTGGGGATTTTGTATGCTGTTACAACAGCAACAACCAGGTATATCTGACCAAGGACTGTCACTCCAACAACATTCCCAAAAAGATTCTTTGGGGAATTTTCATACTGTTACAATAACAACATATAAGATGAAACCCTCTGGGATATTGTTGATATTGTTGTAGCGGCTACTCAGTCCTGCCAAATCCAGGAAGTGTGCAACTCCGACTGGATTAGTCCATAGGGACAGTGGCGTTAATTGAGTGGGATTTACTGGGTATGCGAAGAGGTGTCGCGAGTGGCGAGGTCTCTCCGCATGCCTGGCATTCGTTAGACACATCTGCATTTATCCTGCACAGATAAGAATTTAACCTGCTGCAGTAGCCAGAGCAAAGTTGGGCTATGGTGGTGCGAGTCTCCCGATGCAGACGAAGCTCTGTCTCGTCCACGTCAGGTGGATGTGTTCCTAAAACGGCATTCAAAGGTAGGGAGTCGGTGTAAGTCGAACGCTTTAGTTTAAGAATACATAAGAATATGCTTAATAGGAACTGACTTACGCTTCACAAAAGGGGTCAACTGAGTTCGTTTATGCAAGCTCAATTTCTTCTACATATTTGTTTGAACAATTTACCTAATCAATAAAAATGTATTTCTTACTCGAAAGTAATTAGTGTACTAACAGAGAAAGTCTGTTTTTCTGTTAATTCTAGATGCAAGGGCGCAACATGCTATGAGAATCGAGTTGAGCCCTGCACCTATAAAAAGGATTCGAGAATGCATTATTTGTATCCAGCACCTGTGGACTCTGCCAAAATCAGTACAAGAGATACATTCAGCTTTACGTATGGACGTATCGAGGTAAATGCAAAGCTCCCTCAAGGTGATTGGTTATTTCCGTGTAAGTAGCCGAAATACGACACTTGGTTGAATTTTGGAACTAAAAAATTATTTCTCCACGAACAGATGTAATGCTCCAGCCAGACAAACTTAATTGCTCCATGCGTAAGCAACTTCGTATTGCATATGCCACTTCAAAGGACTTGGAGAATTATCGCATACGTGGTGGACCAGTCATACTAAACTTGGAACTCAAACCCAATAACAAATACGTTTTCGAACGTACCAGCCACATGACCTTCCATACAGGTGTGAAGCCTGATAAATACCATAATTTCACTATGATATGGACGTCGGAGCAAATTGCTTTGTTCGTTGATGGCGACAAGTATGGCTGCATTGCAAACAACGGTCAATATACTGAAAGTGTAATGATTTTTTTTTTTTTTTCAATTTGCGGATTTTCTTATAGCCATTTCTTTTCCTTTGTTTCATTTTATATTTAGTATCATATCGTTTTGGGCGTCTCTGCTGGTGGGCATTTAGAATATACTGAAACTAATTCAAAACCATGGTCGAACGGTTACAGTAATGCTACACGAGTATTTCACGAAAGCTTTACTGGTTGTTGTGCCGGAACTGTTGCAAAAGGTGAATGTACACAGGAAATTAATAGATCAGCATGTAGCAAAAATCAAAAAATGGAGTGCAAACCATCAGAGCAACGTTATGTAAAGAGGAGATGCAGCAAACCATGGGGTCCACAATCAACTATGGCAATTAAATGTGTGCGCGTATATGCTGTGTAGAACTACGAGGAAGCGAGTAAATTTGGAAAGGCGCACCTGAATCATGTATCTATAAATAAATAAACATATGTAATTATGGAACAAGTATATAAAAGCTTTAATGAAAAGTAAACATAATAGGGTGAATACCAAAACGTCAAAATACAAAGCATCAGTCTCTTTTATTTCTAGACCTCAGGAGATTTTAATGCCAAATGTGTGCAACCACGGTTAGATGCTAGTTTTCTACTAGGTTGCGCAAGTTCGGCTTATTCTTCTAGTGTGGTTTTGACGTTTTGGAAAGCAGCCATACATATCGTCACCTGAAATGCAAAAAGACGTAACAGCATCGTAAATGAAATGGAAAAAGTCGTGACTAATATTTTAATTTTTTTTTTCATAAAATGATGTGGGGAGTTGTAATTCGTTGAAATCCATCATATAAACCAAAAAGTGAATTTTGAATTTTTAATTAGTTATCGACTTTTTGCATTTCAACGATGATGTATTTTGTATTTTGTATTTAATATTTAATATTTACATTTTAAATCTAAAATCTAATTATAAGAATGTTAAATCTTTGTTGCAATATAAGTCTAACAGACTGTAAAAAATAAATAAATAAATGTTTGTTACGTCTTCCTGCATTTCAGGTGACGATATGTAGCTTAGTAATTTGGAAATATATCAAAGAAGATGCTTGGATGTTTAATGAACCATACACTTTTGAATGCTATTGGGTAACAGCCGAATATGTATATTTCCGATAAGTGACATCCCGTATTAGTTCATTGTTCATCGAGAACTGGCATACTTTTTAGTAGGAATTCTTTAGGGGTGAGTTTTCTTGAAAGCTTACGCCCAACTTCATGCGAACAATGTTTTTTAACAGGGTTCAAAAAAATGAGCACGTTATCAATTCGTCGAATATTTTTTTATCTAAATATGTATTATTTTGTTATCGGAAAATTAAATATACCGCCTTACCACACTAATTTGGTTTAGTTCATGTTAACTACTGCAATTTTATATGAACATTGAAGTCAGTTATTTTTTTACTTAAGAATTAATTGTGTTGTTGTTATTGTAACAGCATACAAACTCCCCAAAGAGTTTTTGGGGGTTGATGCTGGAGTAACACTCATTGACCAGATATGTATCAGGGTCGTTCCGGTTACGTAGACCCGACTGTCCTGTTTCATTATCTTTGCATGTCTGAAAGCATCTACTACACAATAGTGACCAAAAGCTCAAGAAAGTTTATGTAAAGCATATTCGCTCAACTTCGATATTGTTGTTGTAGCTGCAACATCGCATCGTAGCAAACACTTTACATCTCCAAAGTCTGTTCTTTTTCAAATCATATTTATTGAATTTCATCATATATCAATTAAAACATAATTTCACTACTTTAAAAATACATAGGCAAATTTATACATGAGGAGAATATGAGCCAATGTGGGAATTAATTGCAACATCATGAGAATGTGCAATTTACATAGTACAAAATTGTGTATGTATGTATTTATGTATGTTGGTTTGACACAATACTAAATTTATATGTATGTATGTATTTACGTTTATATTAATCATTTACTACGCTTTACACAAATGGGTTGAAGGTTTCATTTGTAATTGCGCTTTTTAACAATCTTACTCTTAAATATAGTATATATGTATGTAGAATATCATCGTGCAATGCCAGAAGAAATTGAGTAGGTATGTAATAGTTATTATAAAAAAGCTGCAATCAATTGCAATTGTTTTTATTGTTTTTTTCTTTTGCGTTTAAAGACATCGGAAGCAAAGCAGCAGCGCGGCAGTAACAAACCACTTCACGTATGCATGTATGTACACATGTGCTATTACAAAATTTATGCATTATTTTTTTTTTTCTTTTTGTTTAATTTTGGGTGCATTTTATTAGTTTGTTTTCAAGTAGCAAAGAAAAATATTTCACTAATTTTGTATACCAAAAAATCACTGTTTAATAAATAAAAAAAAGTTCAGTTTCGTCATCGCCGGGGTAGATCATGTAACTCCATGATATTCCTACTAGTGTATTCAAACTTTTTATCATGATTTTGGCAATGTCAATGTGAATAACTGAAGCGCTGACAATAGTGTTAACACAACTCCGCTTATACATCCTTCAAATCTAGCGGCATCTCATTTTTGGGATGTTTATTCTCAAAGTGTTGTTTGTACGTTTTTGGATCGGGCATTTGCGACTTTAGGGGAGGGGGGAAAGTTAGATTAGATGTATATGAAAAGAAATGTATATTAGTAGGGTACCTTGCAAACCGCGCATACATGAACGAGCGCCTTTTGTGCTGCCTTCTTCTGATCAGTGGCACTGTGGCCTTGCTGCTTCTTCATTTTGGCTTGTTTTTCTTGAGCCTTGGCTTGCGATTGAATTTTTTGATGTCCGCGAGCCATTTTGTTGATGTTTTGTTAAATAACACGTCTTACTATTAGCTGCAACAAAAGAGGTTTTAAAGACATAAGTTAATGTTAAAAAATACAAAGTTTAAAGTTGATTTGAGGGAGTTTAATCTGTTCTAAAAATACTTAGTGAAATTTTGGTTGAAATTTCCACTCTCCGCTCTGTTTATTTGGAGCATTGCTTACACCCGATTTACATGATTCAAGTACTTGAAAGCAATTCTTGCTCATTCTCTTTTGTATTTTCTATTTGCTTTTACACACTTCAATTCTGTTGAATTCCAAGTCTTTGGTTCTTTAAATGGGGGACAACGAAAATGTCAAAATCAAAGAAAGAAAGTTCAAACAACTTGACGGTACAGACCTTTTCTTCTCATCCCCTCTCTTCCACATGCGAGCAGAATTGAATTCAATACTTGAACTGTGTAAAAACCGTCTTAGTCTTTCTGGCAGTCGATGCATTTTTGGAATGCAAAAGCGGTATTCTTCCAGCAATATTCGAACGCATGTGTATGCATTTGCGTAAATATTTTTTATATATAGCTAATTTTTTTACTATGCTAGTAGGAATGCCGTTAAAATACCTAAACAAAATTGATAGGTCAAATGTAAATTTTGTTAACAGGTTTTTGAAAACTTTCCCCTGCAGATGCTATTTACGTACTTATATCGTCGTTTAAACTACAAAACCGCGTATCGTCATTCTGCAAAACCGCGTAACTGACATTCGCTGCCAAACATTGGATTTGCTCACACAAGCTCTTGACTCAGTCCTCATCCATTCGTCCTGAAATAGTATACTGGCCAGAAATGCGATTGCTTTATAAAAAAGTTAACCATTTTGAAATATTAGTGTTTTTACTCTCTAAAAATAATTTATGCAACCTCACATGCGCGGTTTTGCATAATCTTGATATGCGGTTTTGCATTTTGTTGATAAGTGGTTTTGTACTTTAAACGACGATATGCATTTTGCTATGCGTTTACAACAACCTAGTAAACGTGGCAAAGCGATGTAAATTTTATTGCGGAAAATCCAGTAAATCATATAAACAAAGAACGTCGCGCAGTAATCACGACGCAGCAGCGCACATAACCGTATACATACACATGTTTTTAATCAATATAACAATCGCTCTTTCTTAAGCCTGCTTTACTATTTGCTTTATTTAGGATTTCAACGCAATGCATTAAATTAATATATATATGAGTATTGCCTTCGTGTTTGTCCAGTAGCAAGGCGCCTTGCTCAGTAGTTAGCGTTTTCGTTCATTTTGCACAATTGTACATATAAGGAATGAAACACGCGCAGCGACCACGTTCTTTGAAGCAGCGTTGGTCACATTTATTGCATATTTTTCACCGACATACCTAAACGCTTTTGTCCATTAAAATAAAGACGCCAGCCTTTTGGTAAATAGAACTGCACTTTCTTAGTTAATTGAAAGTAAAACAAGTTTTACACAACCGATCAAAACAAAATTACATTTCGAACAATTTAGTTACTGTGGTAAAAGCAGCAATGCCTGCGTTGACGCAAACTTCTACGCAGGTGCTGACACAAGCAGTGCCCTTCCATTACAACTTACTTAAATTTTACAGCGTGGTTGATCCCCTCTTGAAAAATACAATATTCATAAAATGCAATAGCAATTCGAGTGAAACACGGCACTAAAATAAAAAGCACTGTATTTTATGTCTTTTATTATATCCGAAATTATTTGCAACTGAATTTTTGTAATCAATTTCTCCCGTGCTGCTTTTGTGCTTTGCTAAAAAGTGAATTCGTGGATTTCTGCTTCACGCCACAAATTGTCATATGAATTCGCCTTGTGATAAATGAACGGACAGAGTTCATTCATGACATTTATTTATAAAGGGTAAAGTACACCACACAAGCGGCTTGTCAAACATACTTCAAGTTGTTAAAAGTATCTGTAAGATGGCTATTTTTGCGGGTTTTATCACTTAAACAATTTTGAATTGAATTTTACATCCAAGTACATAATAACAAATATTTTAATAGAAAATAGCTAAATTTTTGCTTTTATATTAAAATATCAATAACGTTGCCGCCACGAAGTTATCGAACAAATGAAAATGTAGCTGTCAAAGTACCAAGTTGCTGGTAATATTTATCAAGATAAAAGCTTTGATTATTATATTGCTTTCCAAGAGCAATATGCGGTCTCCATTGGCAAAATTTTGCCTGATAACATTATCAAGATAAAAACTTTTTCCTGTGGAGACAGTAAGTAACGTAATCTCTCGGTGAAAATTCCGTTGGGAATGAGGCGATTTTACCATACATAAAGCAAGCAGTTTTTGACAAGGCGTTTGAAGGATATTTGAACAAAAATTAAATTTTTTTATTTTTCTGGCCGCTATGCTGATAATTGTTCAAACCGCTTTAAAGCATGAACAAACTAACAAGATCACGCAATCAAAAGAGAAAAAAGTAAATTTCTGAGCGTTTTTGATGCATGCCCAAGAATGAAAACAAACAAGGAAAACAAAAAAAAAGTGCTGTGATTTGAATGGTATTGCCATTCAGCATCCAAAAGTTTTCTGGTTCAGCCAATCAGAAAGAGGCGTTTATAAATTTATATTCCCAAAAATATAAAAAATTGAGAATTTTCAAAAAATATCAAAATTATATGCATGTATGCTTGTCATAAAAGAGGTCAATGAGATAGTTAGTTGTTTCTTATTATGCCTTAATGCCCGCTGAGATAAACAGCACATACGAACTAAGCATTTTTAAGTCTCTAAGTAAACCATATGCTCTAATATCATGAAGCAGACATTCGTACAAAAAAATCTAACATAGGAAATAAGCTAATTTCGTTTTATTTGACCAAGGTTTAGCTATTAGCTAGTGCTGTTTGAATAAAATACGCCTATTCGTATTCATTATTAGAAATAATAAGTAAAAATAAATAAACGTCGTTTATAAACGTTCTCTGATTTTAGCTCTCATTCGAGCTGGCGGGATGTTGTAAAAAATTCTACGAAAAAGGAATATTTTCACAAAACCCTTCTCAACCTGTCAAACAGTCACTTTGCGGACCTGTTTACACATTCGCATAAGGGCGGCCTTCCCGTAGCAGTCTCGTAAACTTACGAGTTTACACAGTTTAGGACTTTACGAGTTTAAGGGAATCCCCTAAATGTAAATAAAAAGAAAAACATGTTCGACAAGCTGCTTGTGTGGTGTATTTCGCTTTTAAAAATTAACGTTCACAAATTAACGGAAATTGGTCCGTAAGTGCTCATTTACACACGACAACTTTTGTAGCGGCAACACGATGCCTGTTGTATATAGAGAAGAGAGCGACGAGTGAAGGAGAGGCAGAGAACTTGTAATAATTATTTTATTTTAATAAAACCATTTGTAAAATGGCTCGTAACAAATGTTTTTGCAAGATTTAAACGCTTAAAAAATTTAGAAAATATGCTATTTCACATCCAAGTACATAATAAAAATGATTTCAACAAAAAAAAACAGCTAAATTTTTGCTTTTATAATATAACATCAATAATGTTGCCGCCACGAAGTTTTCGTGCAAATGAAAATGTTTTAAACTGGCACTGAAAATCTGGCCCTAAAACCAGTAAAAAGGCGGGCCATGCCCTTGATTCAATAATAAAAGGTGTGCTCAGAAAACAGTTTTCTCGTCCCCTCTTGACAAAATCGGCTCCTTTAACAAGTCACTGTGACTGCGTTTGTGTGTGTAACCTTTTGTAAGGGAGTGTCAAAACTCTAAGGTCACTAGTGAGCAAATCTTTAACTATTGAATCATGGGCCAGCCCACCCATTTCTAGCTCAACGCAAGGCTCAATAGGCCCATGGCACAAACGGGCCCTATTCTTTACTTGTCCCAGTCAAGGACCCACTCAGATCCACTGGTTCAAATATCGATACATATTAATGAGTAATCGATAAAATTTTAGTACTGCAATCAACAACTTTCGTACACCTTCGACAGTTCTTTGTAATCGCTCAACGAGCAGCTGGATTAAAATTGTAGGGAGAGCTGCATATTTTCGGTTTTATTTATAAAATAGGTGAATAATTCCACTTGAAAAAGGCAACAATTATGTGTATTAGCAGATAGTGGATGTGAAATTGTGAATTGCATAATAATGTTTTAAAAATTAAGTGAAAAATTAATTAAGTGGGGAAAAATAGCAAATTGAAGTAAATAGGGCGACTTTGTTTTTTTTTCTCTACATGATTGGCATTTTATGGAAAGGGGAAATGGGAACGCAGCCGTGATTTCATTGCTTTTTTGTCGCAAATATATTTTAGTTAATTTTTATAAACTCTGAATTTTCTTTAGTATTTTTTTTATTTATTTAGTTAGTAAAAGCACGCTAATAGTTTTTAAATATACATACGCCAATAAACAGCAGTAGCAAAAGCCCTCTACTGAAGACCTACAACGGGTGGATGAAGCGTTGAAGTGGAGCTTGGAAGTCACAAAAGTTTGCCTATTAAAGCGACGGAAAAAGAGAGAGTAACAATGGACATTTTGGACATCGATGAAGCGTTGAAAGATGATTCTTTTATGTACGTAAGACCCCGCATAGCATGCAGCTCTCTTGAAGAATAAGCAATATATCCGTTTTGTTTTTATTTGTATTGATTTATTTGCGCAGCTGCTTGGAAGATAAAACACACGATGACGTTTCGAACATATTGCAGCAATGGAAAAGCAACAATTGTCCGCTACCAACGCAATATCAGCAGGAACAAGGTAAGCAAGCTATTGTGTGCCAATAAAGTTGTGATAATTTAATATGTTTGTAAAATGTGCTTAATTATTTATGTAAGTATGTAGGGGTGTCGGGCTGTAAGTACATAAATAAACATGTACCTTTGTATGTAGTTATGGCGTTAAAATGTCGCGTGCGGCATCAAGTGGTTGATTGTGTGCTAACGGTCAGTAGCAATTTAACGGCAAAAATCCAACTATGTCAATGACTCATTCGCTTCTTTTGCTTTTTCTTACTGTTTGGCCCTGAAGCCCACACCAGCTTACACATTCATTTCCATATGTTAATATCTTTAAGATTTCTTTCTGTGCAAATTTCAGCCAGCTAACAATGTGTTCACATACATACAAAGTGCATATTTTATTTAGTACACCGCAGTGCCGGACGTCTGCAATAGTTATCGCATTCCATAAATGGTGCGGTATTACAAGCTAATTATAATTCTGAACTTTTTCTTTTTGTCATTGCAACTATCAATCGCATGTAATGGTTAAAATTGGCCACCCACACAAATGGAATGGATACGCTATGCCCATAAAAATATTACAACGCTTAGCTTACAAACTAAACTCGAGAACATTTACGCGTCCTCGCAGGAAGTTGGCGCAAAATCTTGAATCGCCCTTTGTAAGTACATATTATTAATAAAGATTATTTACTCATTTCCTAAATGTGATTCTGTGCTATTTTTAACCAATTCTTCAGGCACACACCTCTGGTAGTAATGGTGCACAATCAACGCTTCCAACTCATTCCGAACAGCTGTCACATAAATTTACCATTGCCACGCCTCAGACGCCGATTTTCAATCTGGAAATTGGCGGTCTAGTTACAACGATGCATAAGTCATTTTTGCAAGACACGTCACCCCCCTCATCCATTTGTTCCTCCATGGATATGTCAATGGAGCGCATGAATAACTCACTAATCACATCAGCGGACTTTACTAACATAAGCTTTCTACAATCGACACAAAGCCTAGATTTCAACGAGCCAATGCTAAATGGTGGCGAATTGTTCAACTTAGCCAATAAGACAACCAGTGATGGTTATACGTTAAGCGACATGATACGCGATAGGAAAGCACTCGAATCGCTAACAATGTCGGGCGATGGCACACTCATAAAAGATTCGCATATCGGTCAGATCGATGATATATCACTTGCGCTCAGCAAAACGGCATCGGGTTACAGTACCATGGACAATTCCACGGAGAGCATGCAGGATGAGCAACAGCAGGGTAATGGTATAAATGCGGCGGCCAATGCTATCACAGTGGATGTTGGTGGCGGTAGCTTGCTTGACGGCAAAAACAACATTATGCATCGTACAATGCTACTTAGTGATGATGTAATCAGTGATACATCTTTTGATTTGGTTGAAAGCAGTTTGTGTGAAAGCATCGAAAATGGAAATGGAAATAACCCATCAACTGTACCCACATCCGCTAAACTCATCAACGAGACGTTCAAGAAGCCATGGCCAATGAACGAGACTGTTTGTCTTCCCACAAAAGCCAATGCAACATTCGAATTTAAACAGCTGACACCAGATCCGCGTTTAGCGTCAGAAACGCGTTGTGAAACTCCAGAAAATTTGGCCGAAACAGTTGCCGCACGCAAGTTCTACGAGTCAACACCTCATGCTGCTAGCATGGGCAAAGACGCTCAGCATCTTACACCTACGACCTCGAAGTTAACAATAGATGAGGGCAATCTTTCGCCTATAGTGGGCTCGCCGGAGAAATTGAATGCAGCACGCGTGCTGAATGAAACCTTCGGCCAGGAGTCGGACGTCAAGAAAGTGAATTCGAAAACATTTTCAGGCACTTTGCCACGTCTTGAGAGTATCGAACAAATGTTAGATAATATTGAAAATCCCAATGAGACTTACGAGAAAGTATCTGCGCGCACACAAGAGCTGCAACAAAGCGCGGCCGACATACAAATGCAAAATGTATTGGAGCTCGCGCACGCTGAGGAAGAGCTTTTGGCAAGCAATAACGATCAGGAATTTGAGCATATGCTGGAAGAATTCAGTAAGGTGGAAGTAAATGCTGAGCATGTGAAAATGAAGAAATCGCTGGAGACAATAAAACGACGCTTCCATCGGGACACCATTGCTTTGGGAAGAGCACCAGCCTTGCAACACGGCGCTGATAGTAATATTCATGCCGTCGATATACACGAGAAAATAGTTGAAACGAATGGCGCTGACTGTCAAAATGATTCGAGGCGTAATGGCAGTTACAGCAAACTGGATATAAACGCCAGCTTGGAGCTTAAGCGTTCATTATTGAACGATTGCTCAGCGCCTTCTGGTTTATCCTCACCATCCCCCTCATCCGCATCGGTATCCGCCTCATCGGCGGCTTCCTCGATAACGGTCAGTGGTGGCGCCAACGTCAATGCAACGAGTGAACGACTGCTAAGTCGTCGCAGCCGGCTATATGATAATATAAATCTTTCAACAATTTCCGCTGGCAGCGATAATCATCATTCGCCATCCCGTTCACTGGGTGCTTCATTCACAGTACATAAGCGTGAAGATAACAAGCATGAAAATTGTGCAATTGCCGCAGATACAGCTACTATAGCGGGTGCACCGAAAGAGACTGAACAAAGAGATGAAGAAAAAGAAGAGAATTTGGGAAAGACGGATGAAGCGCATGAAAATGTACACGGATCAGGGGTATTGAACAATTACAACGTTATTGGCACTTACAGACTCTCAGAACGGCGCGAACGTGACCGTGATCGTTTTAAGACAATAAAAATTGTCAAAGGAAGCAGTGCGAATGACGATCTTGTAGCTGTAAATGTGCCTTGCATCGATGATGAAATTGCGTGTGAAGAGGGCGTATCTGACGACAGCGCTGCAGTCTTCAATAATAATAAATCAGAAATTGAAGCAGAAAAGGAAGCTGTGTCGGCAACTGGAAATCAAAACACCTTCAAGAAATCCACTACGGCATCAAAAATCAATCCGAATTTTTTAACATACAAGAAGCCGAAAGATAAACCAACACTCGGCGGAAATTTGCCGGAGATAGGATGCAACGCATTAGTCAGCAATGGGGAGCTCGAAAAGCCAAGAGAACCGCCCAGCCGTTTACGTTCACGTTCACGCCCGCGTTATATTTCCGGTTTACAAAAGATGACGGTGGTTAAAGCGATTTCGGCGGGCGATTTGGATCGTGCTACAGCGCCTGGCTTGCGACCGCCTAACGCCAGCGTCAGTCATGCTGGGCTCAACAGCTGTCAGGATGCTTGCGCTGAGAAGACTGCCACGAACACTAAATACCAACGCAACACGCAACCTTTGAAGACATCAACGGATGAGGTTAAATCCCCAATGGGCACCAAGTCAAAATCCTTCCACAACTTATCGAGTAATTTTGGTTTTAATGGCAACGCAAATGGCCTGTCGGCGGGACGCAACAGCAGTTTTGGCTTAAAAAAGCCCACCACTTTTGAAAGCAATGGTCTTTCCACAAACTCTGCGAGGGAGGTAAGTGGGTTTTTGTTTGCACTTCATTTTGGGTGACGAGGATTCGTTGTTTGCGAAAACTGTTTTTTCCCACATTTACAGCGTACTGGCAACGGTACGCCGAATGCCACGCTGCAGCCGGTACTTTCATAGTAACCGAATGTTTCTTAAACACACAGCCTAATAAAATAAGAAATAATATTTATACTTCCAGCAAGCCGACGAATCAGTTTTCAAGGTACCCAAGCTTATGTCCGGCCTACGAGCGCCTGGTGTGAAACGCGCCGGCTTGGTGCGGCCCTCCTCCGGTTACTATAGTCTCAACAGTCTTGCCGCCAAGGGTATGCCACCGTTGCCGCAAGCGCCACAAACACAGCCAGCGAATGATGCCGATTCTGATAGCGGCGGCAGGCATTCACCCACAGAAGTAAGTTACTTTTTGTAAATTCATATTATATGTAGTGTAAACTTATGCATTTGCAGAGCATGTCTTCGGCTTCATCGCGTAGTAGCTTACATAGTGGCGGCGGCGGTGGTAGCAATATTGGCAAGCCGGTTGCAGCCGCTACTGCTTCAAAGCCCGTATCTTTCGCCAACTCTAACACATTGAACCTGACTAAGATTACCACTGGTTCAACGGGTATACCGAAGCCATCTGGCCTGCGGCCGCCTACAACGAACATCAAGCGCAGCGGTTTGCCCAAGCCAGCCACAGCTATGGCGCGACGATAAACCGTATGTCACACACACATACTACATTGCAATACAAACAACTACGTATTTTATATATATTACTAAGCGACATACAGTATATTTACACGTTTGTAAATTACGCAAGCGGAATTTAGGCAAGTTGGCAATGTGACTATGAAATCAAATGAAAGAAATGTATTGAGCTGGAGGCATTTCTTTGTGCTCTTTTAAGTTGACACAACTAAGATTATTTTTTATATATACATACATATATTTAATTTTATTTCGACGCGAATTCGATTCTTGTACTTTATGTATTACTTAGAAGACAGAAACAAACGAAAGAGAACAATAACAAAAAATGAGCGAAATACTTATATCGTATACAATGATTATTAGATACTGAGAAATTTCAAATTCGAATATTAGCAATGCATATAATGAATAACTATTTCCCTAAGATAAATTATTATCAATTTCAATTATATGTATGTGCGTTAATTAAATTTAGACTAAAAAAAAAATACTATTAAATGATTTAACTAAAAACAAAACGGCGAACTTGAACTATTAAGAAACAGAGAGAAGAGAAACTGTGTTAAGGAAACTGCCGCGAAGAAAATGAGTGGCGATTCTAGCTGAGTGCTTCTGAGCGCTACCTCTTCTGAGCAGTTTCATCAGGGGACGCAAGAGAAGGGAAGAATGCCTTATTTTTCTGAAAATGTTAGAGGCGTGGCTGTTGTAGCTGGCCATCGATGACTCGTCGTAAGCGTAGTGGAGAACATGGAAAGTAATCGCCGTACAATGTTGTGACTTTCGTTCGTTTTCTCTTACTAAATTATGTATTTATAAAGCACGACGAACAAAATGAAATGGAAAACAATAACTACTGCTCACAAATATTAAAAACAAATTTACGAAAAGAAATGAAGTAAGATTAAAAGAAACTAAAATAAATGTATACTCTTTTGTTGCTAAACAATTAAAAGTAAGTGCTGATTAATTATTAAATAGTTTTTTTTTTATACATTCTGTTGCATTCAAAATCCTAAGTGTATTCATTAAATAAAAGCTTTTCATTGTCCAATTGCTTAAAACTTAATATATGCATACATACAACATTACATAACATAATTTCGTGCCAATTTCAATTGCTACAACAAACATTGTAAATCAGATTGTGTCATTTAGCATATCCATATAATGGTGCCGTTAAACGTTTGTTTATAAACCAGTGCATAAGCATAAAACAAGCTTAAGCTTACACGCCACCGCCACGTAAACTTTCGTCGTTTTACTGCTACACACTTAGTTTTGCTATGTACTCTACTATTGTGTTTTTGTTTTTTGCCTTATGATGCCAAGGTCAAATAAAAACTGCTTTTACGCAAATTTATCAGTGACTGCATAACTACAACAAAAGGTTACGTCAATTCGATAAGTGGCTCATCTGCTGAACACAATCACATACCCACAAAACATACATACATATAATATTTATATAGTATATTCATGTTTATAATATGTTTAGTTATATAAAAAAAATATACGCAAAATGTGCTTTACTCATTGCTTTTTGTTCACAAAAACGAAAATTGTTTATGCAGCATACATTTTCATATGTACGTACAATGATACAAATATTTTTTTGCATCAAACGTACGTACATATGTACATTCTTTTATATGTGCGCTTGAACTCCTGCAATTGCTCATTTTTTATGATCTTTGCCAACCGCTGTTATTTTGCGCTGCAGAAATTTTTGCTCGCTTTAAGCTGGAGTTTTTTTTGCTAAGTGTCGCCCTTAAGCTTAATTGAAATAACCGATCATATCAAATCGAATTGTCCAATCAAAATTGTTGCTTGGGGAAAATCTGCATGTGGGAAAGATATGCTGTTGATAGATTGACTTTTTTCTGACGTTTAAGGATTAGTGAATTTTAAATTGAAAATTATGGAAGTTCAAAATTAATCACCCTCAATGCGCGAGTCGTGTCGAATTCAAGTCGTTTTTCGAGAGTCGAATCGTATCGAAAATTTCACGTCATTGCCTAAAATTTCCACTCGACTAGTGTATTAAAACGGAAAAACTTGGCAGCACTGTACAATTTTCGACAATTTTCATCGTTTATTTATTTCAGCACGACAGTAGACAATGCCAATGTTGTCGAGTCGTACAATTTAGCCTAATTTGCGACTTACACAATGATGCTGAATATTGAACAATTAATCTTCTTAGTCTCGAAGATTCATTAGATAGAAATTAGCGAAAATGGACATTTATTTATTTATTTGTTTAATTATCTGCCGGACACTGTCCTCACAGATAAGCAGGAAAAAATAACACGTTATACAAAATTACAAAAAATCTATTTTTCTCATACACGGCGTTTACAGGAGAATTTACCCAGTAGCGAAAATGGTCACTGGTGACATCGGCACTAATGAGGTTTTAGTGACATCGTCGCTCTTGCTGTGAATCCTAAGCGACATATAGCTGACAGTGACACTGGTGAGAATGTCATGTAGGTGTACTCCTATCAAAGACGTATAACAGACAATGTCTTACAGCGGTCGCGCTACGGGGTTGCCAATACAATAGCAATACATTCACACTTTTTCACTAATACACTCACACAAAGACCATTAATGTTTTCTTAATTAATTGTCTGACAATTGTCTTCGTCATTGTCTTTGGACAGTAAATTGGACAATTCAGTCACGTCTTGGGTAATTTGAGAAAAAGAGACAAGGCAAAATCGCAAAAATTCGCTGAATTATGAAAAAGTGCATTGTGTTAGGATTTTTTAGTAAATAATATGAAATTCACGCCAAACGACACTAACGGCGCACAGTGGGGCAAAAAAGGTTGCTGTGGATAAATCAATTTTGGGAGCCCAAATATGAACCGATTTCAAGTTTCTTTTTTAAATAAAAGATAATTAAATTTCGCGTCGATCTATCCGTGGGGATTTTTAAAAAAGCTCTGGTTTTATTTATTTATGTTGAAAAATGAAAAAAAAAATCACGTTTGAATGCTTCCAATTTTTTGGAAAAGATTTGAAATTAATTCCAAATGCCTGTAATAATTTAAAAAACTATTCATAAACATTTTTCTATAGGAAATATTTAATTAAAAAACAGCTGTACCCATGATAAAAACATAGCAAGGTAGAACCGTTCTCTCAATTTGTCGGCCATGATTTTTTTTTGAAGTTTGCCAACATTTTAAAATCATATAAAAGTGAAAATATAAAATTGAAATTGTTCGAAATTGTTGTTGCTGGAGATTGAAAATGAAAATGTGTGTGTGAGTTTATGAGTAAATTTAAAAATTAAATTGTTTGGAAACGTCAAGAATTTTAAAAGTGACTCTTAGCGGTTCTACCTTACTATATTTTTATCATGGCTGTACCGAAATTTTTGAAATTTTGGACATCGACTCTATACCTTCAAAGGATGATAATAGAAGAAGAATAATTTCGATATGTCAAGGGGCACCTCCCATACAAACTAAAGTTTTCACACAACATATCTCTGAAAGTATTCATCGTAGAGTGCTGCAACTTAGTACAGAAACATATAATCGTATCGCAAATTTCACGTCATTGCCTAAAATTTCCACTCGACTAGTGTATTGTCTTTATAATTGTCTGGATGCCTACTTTACACTACAATTTTACAACTAATGCTGCTTTTACGTAAGACAATTTGAGTCAAGACAATTGAGAATATGTATTAGTTGTCAGAGCCAGCTATTCGATTGCAACAAGAATACTCAAAATTTTTAGTTTTGACGCAAAGTTTTTTTTTTAATTTCGGGACGAATTACACGCCTGGAACGGACTTCGAAAATGCAAGTACATAGAATACTTAATTATTTTGAGTTTCGAGCATAACCTCAAAAATATAAAAAACTTAATATTGCAAAATTTCGAGTAAATGGGAATGAAGTATCAATTTTGAATGAGGCCTCTTATTATCCGATTGTTAAAAGATATACAAAATTTATTTCCCGCTGTTAATGTTAATTTTTTGATGCTTGATTTTTTCTTGGCTGCAGGATAAATAAAAAGCATTATAATTATAGAAAAGACTTTTAAACCAAGAGCAGAGTTGTTTATTACAGAATTAAGTCAATAAGCATTAAAATTCAAGCTTTTAATTTTCGAATAGAACCTAAAAAAAAAAATACTGTAAAACACAAGATTCCAAAATTTAATGTGAGTTTCAACGCAATTTTGCCTAAAATTGATTTTCAATGAGGTCCTTTATTATTTCCTCATAAAAAGTACAGAAAATTTAATTCCCACTGATAATTATTAGTTTTATTTATTTATCCAAAGCTTACGTTCGAACAAAAAAACCTGTCTAGTTTAAAACGGTCTTTAACATTTAAGCAAAGTTGTTAAACAATTAAATCAATAAGCAATGCTTTGGAAAATTTTCGTTTCGGAACATCACCTCAAATTTTAAAAACCAAATTTCTACCAAAAATTTATTTCCAATAAGCAAAAGGGAATTAAAAAAATAGTTCCGACTGAAAAATATAAAGTTTGGTTGATTTTTTCATAGTTTCATCACAAAGTGCAACCGGCTTTTAGTGAAAACATGCATCAAGATAAAAAAGACTTCTAAAATACCCCACACGTTTCCTAACCCTGGTCTAACAATAAGCATATTTTTCCAGCAAGCAGATTTTGAGTAAAGCGATTGCTCCTTAAACTGCATATTCATACTTAAATACATAAAATCCGTTTTACGTGAAAGCTTTTCCAAGCAACATTCATTCTAAAATCATATTATGAGTATATATAAATAGGTTTAATTTTTCACAAAGAAACAAAAAAAAAATGTGCTACTTATTTGGTTTGAAAATCCAACATTAAAATTAGTTTTAAAAGTATATTTAAAAATTAACACATAATTACATTTAAAGTATTAACCTGCGATTTGGAAAATTTATTTTTATAAATTTTTATAACCCATTTTAAAGCATTTAAATAAAATTCCTTTGACAGTAGATCTTAATTAACCCTGTCTATTATTTAAATTATAACAAGAAAGGAATTGTGTCCATATTTGAAATCAAGCAACAGCATTGGATTTCAATTAAAACCAGAGAGGATAAACGATACTGATTTTCGAAGTTAGCTGCTGTAGAAAAAAGTCGCGGCACGTTTTCTAGACAAATCTAATGTACGTGGATCATCTTTCTTAAGAATATCCACCCCAGCCCCGACTTGTGTCTTCTTACTCATTGTAAAAGGACTTAATTATTTCAGGAAGTCACACTAACCTTGAAACAACACTCGACTGCAGTAGCGTTTTTTCCAGGGCCTCGGAACACAGATTTTTTTGTCATCGCTCCGCTCTAGCCCCGCTCAGGTATTTTATTTCGCTCCGAGCTCCGCTCCTGCTCCCAATAAAATTTGTTTAACTGACTTAAAAAAAGCAGGTTATGATAATGATGATTCGTCGGAACATTATTTTTTATGTATGGACCACGTTAACTGATTTCGATAATTGGAAGGGTGATTCCATACTAATTTGATCATTAATCATTGATCATTGGATCATGGAGAAATTAACGGTAATCCTAAATTTGTATATGAGAATTTAAGTCTGTCGTGTTTTTCGCTTAAAAATTACTAGTTATTTATTTATTTACTTATCGTCGCCTGGGTAAAAGATTGTCGTAATCGCAATTTTGACGATTTTATTATTATTATTACAAGCTTTTATGTATGCTTGTATGTATGTATGTACATATGTATCTTTGTATGTCCTGGAGCTTTGCAGTCAATATTTAACAAACTTCCCGATGAGCTACAGGCTTGAAATTTCAAACTTAGCTCAGTACTCGAGGACAATGCAATACAAAAGATGACTTAATCCGCTAGGTGGCGCAGGAGTCGAGATATTTGTAAAACCCGCATTTATGGTCTGATTTGGTTCATATTTGGAACATATATTACTTATATGAAAAGAAATAAATAAAAAAACTTTTGCCTGGTTCATATATAGAACATATATTACTTGCGTGAAAAGATTTAAATCCGCAAAAGATTTTGCTGATAGGTGGCGCAGGAGTCGGGATATTTGGAAAAACCGTGTTTATGATCCGATTTTATACTTTTTAGTTCTTGTTGTAATAAAAGCGTGTTTTTAGTTTTTTAGCTATAATTTTATTTAGTTCTAGATGCAGTTATATACCCTGCAAGAACAGCGACTATCATTTGACAAATCATTTGAGTGGCAACCCTACAAGAACAGTGACTATCATTTGACAAATCATTTGAGTGGCAAGACTGATAGAGATTTCTGTCACTGGCTGCCTACAAGTTTCTATCA